GAGGGTGAGGGTGAGGGTGAGGGTGAGGGTGAGGGTGAGGGTAAGGGTGAGGGTGAAGATATAATATAAAAAATAAAATAAATAGAAATAAAAAAGTTCTCTTACTTGGAAACGAATCGTTCTGGAAGCTCTTCATCTGGAATCAGCCCACGTGATAAAGCTAACAAAAACGTTTGTCTTTTATTGCGCAAAAATGCGGTGGTTTGGATGATTTTAGATCGAGGAGTTCGTAAATATGGTCTAGCCACCATCTGGGATAAGTTTTCGGTTACTTCTTCTACTTCGGTCTGTCGACGAAGACAAAATAATAGTCAAAATAACGCTTCGTAAAGGCCGCATCAACGCGGCTTCGTAAATGCTGCAGAGTCAGGCAGGACTAACTCACATATCGATATCGGAATCATTAGCTTGTTAGGTTATGCAGAGGGATGAAAATCAGAGAATCTGGAGAAAAGCTCTCCAATGGGAGACCTAAAAAACTTTACTCACACGTGAGTCCAGGAATCATTATCCCAGAAGTGAAACACCTATTCGCTAACTTTGATTCTCCAAGTATATCCCTAGGGAGCTGACAAGTGTCAAGTCTAGTATAGAGGGAGGGGGGGGGGGGGATAATCTTACCTGCATAAACTCGAAAATTGTTTTCTTTTCCTTGCTGCCATCTAGAAAGTATCCATAAGCGTAAGAAGCCTTGAGTACTCGACGAGCCTTGAGCAGCTCACGAACTGCGTCCTCTACAAAACTGGTATCCACACCATCCAGCGATGTATCTGAAATGGTTTCATTTGATAAAGGCTCCGAATTAAAACTATTGGGTATGCTCGTCGGAAATAATCAAGAATACCCCTAAAAGATACCGGAATTTCTTCAAAGATGTGGATGGACGATGTTTTACCCCTGAGAGATACGACAAGCATACTTTTACCCCGGAGTCACTACCCCGGGATTCGCCTCTCATCTCTGGGGTCTCGAGTTCCATTTATTGACTCCGCATCACATGTAAGTAAAGTTTGTTTGTTCTCTCCTATGATTCGAGGATTTTTCGGCTCCAGGTTCTCCTGTTTTCTCCCTCCGCAAAACCTGACATGCTAAATTCTAATTCGATCTGTGAGTTGTCCATGCCCTGACTTAGCGAAGCCTAGACGGGCTTTTTCAGGGTATAGATGAAATATGGAGTGACGTGTTGAAGAAGATTTTTTTAAAAGGGAAGAAAATAAAAGAGCTTAAAAAATCTAGAAGCACAGGACAAAACCAAAAAAACAACTCTTTACACAAAAAATAACGCAGGGATGAAGTTTGCACTGAATTTAGTCAGATCATATAATGGCAGCCATTACAGGAGGCACAAGAGTCTTTTTTACCTGGGAAATCGAATTCTTTTTTATATAAATGAGATTAGACCCAATTAATTGTTCCTGCCTCCGATCATGGCCGCCATCACGTGATGGTGCAAGCCTCTATTAATTATATCTTTATGGCTTTTACCGTGATTGCGACTGAAACGAATTTCAGCTAACAAAAGCAAATTTCGACTGCAACTGTATGTCTGTTACTGTTACGAGTAACTACAAGGCTTAATCTGCAAACTCACCATTTTCTAATGCAGACATAGCTAGGGCTGTCATTTTTTCTTTCGCAGCTCCCAGTAATGGTTCCTCCAACTGGTGGAAGAAGAACAAAAGCTTATAAACCACTTTTTGTATATCTCTATATCAGTAGTGACAATCGTTTCTCCGGCGTCGTGATTCGTTGAGGTTCTTTAATTCGGATAAGATGCACAACCCCGAAAAAAAACATATATCCACGGTTCTCAACCACAGCTGAGAAGCCGAGTGATAGTGAACAAATTTAACCATAAAATGTTTGCAGAGAATAACGCTTGACAGTTATTCACGTGATAAACTCGTGGTGCGTTTTTAACGTCTCTAAAGTTGAATAGGGACGGGACTGCCATTAACGTTCTCATCCGAGCCACGTTTAGATAAGGTCTAAACATTTGCAGACGTATACGAATGCAGCACCTTTTCCTCAGTTATTCTAAGACCCTGAGCGTTGGTCAGGCCTTGACAGTCGAACTACGACCGACGCTCTTACCAACTGTGCTAACGGGGGGGAGGGGTTGTGTTTGTGATCGTGATGTGCATCGTGTTCGCCCACTCAGGACAGTATTCATAGCTACAGGATTAAATAAGTACTTTGTTGAAACAAACCTTGAAGCTGTTTTCGTGGTTTTTGAAGCGAGAGTAGTAGTGAAGAAAGTAATTGAGTTTTTGAATCGACATGTTCTTTTCTGATGCCTGTAAGAGGAGCAACAAAAAAGGAATAAACCTTAACTGGAGTTGTTGCAAATGAGTTTTCCGGCATATTTTCTTCTATGCTGGCATTATATACAATACACTTACAGCTTGGTATGCAACGTACAACATGTAACATGCAGCAAAATCTTCACAAACCTTTTTAGAAATAGCTGTATATGGGCTGATATGATTCTTGGCAAGGGAGTGGACGGGGAGGAGAAAGCAAAGCAAAGAAAGCAAAGAAAGCAAAGAAAGCAAAGAAAGCAAAGAAAGCAAAGAAATGACTACGTTTGAGGATACTATGAAATTTTTCATGGGATCCTATTTTGATGTCGATACTTTACTCAAATGACCGTCAAACATTAATTTTTTTTAATACCTCATTGCAACCCAATTGATAAGGCAGCCGATAGAAAGAATTAGAATTTAGACTGTTGATTTTTGTGGAGGGAGGAAAAACTCTCGAAGTACAGGAGAGAACCAACAAACAACTCTACTCACATACGACACCAAGCCCGGCAGGGCTCCAACCTGGGTCGCATTGGTGAGTGGCAAATTAGAAGCATACCCGTGCTTCCCTAATAAGGAAAGGGTGGTTGAGGTATGTAAGGCCACAGTAGAAATTTTGCAATTCAAAATGCTACACGATTTCTATAAACAATCATATACCATGTAATTATTTTTGAACAAATTGCAAAACTTGAAAGTTGGGATTTAATTTTTTAAATATAATTTTGACGGCCAGCTACTTCCGGTGGAAGCTCAGAAAAACTTCGTATTTAAACCACGTGGTTTTCTTTTCTAATTTGTTAGGTGTTAGATGTACTTACATTTTTTATGGAATCAACGCAGTCAATGTTCAATTTACGTATGATCTCGTATCTGTTACACCTATCACAACAACAAAAATACTGATCAATATTTCAAATATTTTGGAAATAGGCCAAGTTTAATATTTTAAAATTCAAACTTAATTGCGAGGCTTTAGGTACTTCATGTGTGGTACAAACACGTGTTGTACAAACACGTGTTGTACAAACACTTCTTGTACGTGACCTTGCCTACTATGGAAACTACTGTAACAGAGTTTAATTCACTATTGTGTGATTTGTAACTGATGTAACTATGAATACCTGAAGTAACCTCCAGTAACTGAGCTATGCTTCTTCCACAGCTCAAGACAAACCCAACAAAATTCATGTTTGCACTATAAAAAAAACGACAAAAACGATTTCAAATTTAGAAACAGTCGATTACCATAAACAGTACATCCGTGACACAAGATGCAAGCTCCATCCCAACCCCCCCTCTCCCATTGGAGTGGGAAACGTGGCACTGACCTAAAAGACTTACACGGTAAGTAACAATAAGTTACCACCCCTTATGCACCCTACTTTACTTTTACGAAATATTACTCCTTGCAACAAAGGAAAATCCCCCCCCTCCCCCACCCCTCATGCGACCCCCCCATTTGAGTGGGAAACGTGGCACTGACTTGCAGGACTCATATACGTAAGTAACAATATGTTGCCAAAGTTAAAAAAAAAAACAAAAACAAAACTTAACTGCGATTTCAAATTTTAACATCAGTGACCATATTTATATTTTGCCACATATAAAAAACAGCAATAAATAAGTAGGATATTAAAAAAGTATGTGCCCCCAACATGCATGGCGGACAATGTTCAGGTGTGTTTCTCCTTGGGTACCTTTGAACATTTCATATGATTACAGCCTTCTGTCTTCTGGATTGGCGACCTAAAATGTTTTTAATAAATGAATGATAAATGTCAATCGAAATCGCTTTTTTCATTCCTTTTTGTTCGTGCTGTTCGTTCTTTGAGCCGGTTGTTGTTTGTATTTTACTTTTTTTCGTTTGTTCGTTTGTTTGCTTGTCTGGTTGTTTTTTACTTTATTTGTTCCTTCATGAATATATCTAATTTGTCTTGGCGTAATGTTTAGCTATTTCAGACCACCTTCCATTTTCTTGAGCATGATTGTTTGAGTTGTATTCATATTCATGTGTCTTCTCATGAACAATCATTGAACAAAGAAATGATATTGGTCCTGGCCGAAATGGCTTTAATGATCCTGGCCGATTCGACTGGTACGCGACGGCGCACGTACGTGACGCGTACAGCTCATACCGCCAAGGATCACTGATTATCCAATCACAATCCTTGGGCACGGTATCGTCGTGTCACGGTCACGTCACGGAACTTCTACATAATACGTTTTTCATGCTCATGTTTTAATAGACCTCTTTAGCTTGCGTGTAATGTTTTCCCATTTCATACCACGTGCCATTCCCGTGAGAATGAGATTCTTTGTCCATATTCATGAGTCATTTCGTGTGCAAACACTAAACATGTGGTCTGGAATTGGAAAACATGCACCACGGCCAAGGGTAAAGAGGTCTAGTCATAATCTGAAAGCCTTCTTTCTTATGATATAAAGAAAAGTGTGTTACGTCATACGTCATTCGTATTCTACATTACAACCACTTACTTGCAGTTTGGACAAGGTTTGGAGTTGGTCACCAGCCACAGAGTGTTGGCCACTTTCTCTGTTTCGGGACATTCATCCAAAACTGTACAAATTCAGACACGAAAATCAACTCTTACTAAAACATGACAGAGTCAAACTAAGCGGGACGCCACCTCAAAGGATGGAATTGATTTGTAATTTAAGAATATAACCAATTCACTTTTGCGCTAGAAAAAGAAAATTGGAAGCGTAGGAGAGAACCAACAAGCACCTCTGCTCACGTGTGATGGAGGGTCAAAAAGGACTGGATCGAAGCTGACCACAGCGCAGAAAGGCGTATTAACAGCGCACCAACAATGCTTATTACATGCATGCCCAGAAGTCTAAAGTCCTGGGCTGAACAAGATATATGTTTACAGCGCGCATGTTTCATAGACTTCCCAGTTTAGCCGCATGCAAAACATTAGTACACTCAAATCATGCTTCCGATAAGAAAAATATGTTTTAACAGAAACATTTGGTGTTTCCGCGCCGCATGTAAACAACATTACACATGATCCCCCCCACCCCCTAATATTTTCTGACAGCTTATCCACCTTTGGAGACAGTCAACAAAAACGTTTACATATCCAGGTACACTTTATTACGTAAGAGAAAGAGAAGAAAGGGCGTAGTCATAGACCTTTTTTGAGATAGTGAGCATGGTGAATTGTGGTCTAGTTTCAGTACAAACATCATGCCTTATATGGTGTTGCTCGTACCGAATCTAGACCATAATGCATCCTGTTTATCGAACTCAGAAAAGGCCTATGGATGAACTATTTACATACGAACTGCGGCACTTACCCTCTTTCTCTTTCAGTGTAGGAATCTTGGGAAGCATTTCAGCGATCTTCTTTATCCATTTGTCCCACAGCTCACACGTGCATGGCTCATGTACTTCCTGTAAACAGTGCCTGAACACACCGAAACATAAAAAACAGATGATTTCAAACACTACTATTACTGCAATACTGCGAGTATTGTTACGTTTAAAAGTAGGCTCCTCTGTAGCTCTCGCACGCTCGACTAGCAGGTACAAAAACACTTAGAAAACAGCCAAGTACGCTTACTATTTTGAAAGAAGTTTGTAGAAGGAAAATGAATTGCCATTTTGTCAAGGAGAAAACATGAAGATAAAAACATCACCGAGTCTAACGTTTTAGAACATTTTTTTCAATTTTTAAGAAAAGTACGAATTAGACTTCTTAAATTTCCTTACCCGAGAACATAAACCCGAACTCAATACATAATTGGATTTCATCAAGGTGAAACTGTTCATTTTAACGACTCTATATATCCAACATTTGCACACGTCCCTTTGAAAAAAATGTCATGTCGACATCGAAACGTCGTCACTAATATACCCCTGTAGCTTTGGCGTAATGTTTTCTCATATCAGACCTCGTGTCATTCTCTTGAAAATAAGATTCTTTGAGTTGTTTCCATATTCATGTTTCTTTTCATGTGCAACCATTAAACAWAGAAATGATACTCTAGGGAATGACATGTGGTCTGAAATGGGAAAACATTACGCCCAAGGTAGAGGTTTATTTTCCAATTAAAAGGCAAACTCTTTTTACCAGCAAAAATAATGTGCACTGCCGCAGTCTACCATCAAGCATGGTGTTTCTTCTCTCCGTCTTCTTGCCAGGGTTCTAGCGGGGTCAACAAGCGGAGAAGCACTAGGAGGTAGACGCACTGCGCGACCACAGCCCTGGGCTGGGCACCACTTAATGTTAGGATTGGATTCTACGAATGCCTGTATTAACAAAAGTTCACTGATTTTAGTGCTGGAGGGATTACCCTGGGCTCCAGAGGTTCTACTTCGCTTCCTGTGTTTGCGACTTCCCGTCAAAACAGCAAATGACGGAAAACAAATAACTTCTGGACCCCAGGGCATGGAGGGATGATACAGAACAAGACATAATAGACCATGTTCGATGTCTTAAAATGCAGACTTGATTGCGAGGCTTTAGTCATATAGCGCTAGTTAGTGTTTACAAACATTAGCATTGTAATGTTAATTTGCCAACTTTGTTTCATCACCGAATCGAACTCTGGTTACCCTGGTCCCAGGGGCCCGACGATTTTTCTCCACGTATATTTTTAGCCGCGAAGCGGCGAGAGGGCTGCGAAGCAACGCTGGGACCAGGATAAACTCTGGTTGGCATAGTAATGACAATAGCTTACGTCACACCAACAAGCATGGTACTTGATGTATGGAACAACATGGATCACCAAATATATTCAATGCCGCGTAGGAATATAATAATGTATCTAGAGGATAAGTTGATGCTGTTGTCCAATAAATTTGACCACTGGATAAGATTTATCCATCGTAAAGCGCTATCCACGACCGGGCCCTGTATTCTATAATATATTCACAAACCTTAATATCAAACAGTAAGTAACGACTTGCCATCTCTCTTGAAACTAGCTTTTCAATGGTTTCCTGTGGATCAATCATGTCAATATATCTGTTGCTCAAGCCTTAGCCTCGATTTTGTGTATAATATTCGTGTGTTCCAATAAAGGTACGTGGAATTTTCAAAGCGTTTTGGATTTCAAAGTTTGTATTGTTGAAGCCGTTGTGATTCTTTTCCACTTTACCGTTGGTATTTGTGAATAAACAAAGCGGTTATTTGGGAACTCAAAAATGGTATAATTCATTTAACTTTTATAGACATTTTCAATGGGGAATACGATTTCTTATTTGTCTAATATCGATTTATGCATCTTTTCAGCTAGATTAGCATTATCTTCTAAGGAGGAGCCTTATCAAATAGTCCTCCCCTCCCCCCTCCCAGGATCTAATTGCTATCAACTTACCAACGGAACAAGGGTATTGCATTTTAATGCAGGACACTGAATATTATGAGCATCTCCTTCTTTGATTTTGATATTGAGATATCTGAATATGAAATAAGTTATACATCGAATTAAACTAGGAATTTGAATAACCATTGTTCTGGTCTGACTAGCCTCTTGTTCACATGGAAACGAAAGGGTTTTCATATGTAAGAGAGTCTAGTCAGTCCAGAACAATAGTTATTCAAATTGTTCTTCAGCTTTTGATTCGATGTATAGAAAAAACGAACAAACGAAAGAAAGGAATGAAAGAAACAAACAAACAAACAAACAAACAAATGAATAAAAAAGAAAGAAAGAAATGATTAAATGAATGAATGATAGAAAGAATTGAAGGAAGGAAGAAAGAATGGAAGGAAGGAAGAAATGAATGAAAGAAAAAGGAAATAAACGATTAAATGAATGAAAGAAAGAAACAAATGAATGAATGAATGAAAGAAACAAACAAATGAATGAATGAAAGAAACAAACAAATGAGTGAATGAAAGAAAGAAACAAATGAATGAATGAAAGAAAGAAACAAATGAGTGAATGAAAGAAGGAAACAAATGAGTGAATGAAAGAAAGAAACAAATGAGTGAATGAAAGAAGGAAACAAATGAGTGAATGAAAGAAAGAAACAAATGAGTGAATGAAAGAAGGAAACAANTGAATGAAAGAAAGAAACAAATGAGTGAATGAAAGAAGGAAACAAATGAGTGAATGAAAGAAAGAAACAAATGAATGAATGAAAGAAGGAAACAAATGAGTGAATGAAAGAAAGAAACAAATGAGTGAATGAAAGAAGGAAACAAATGAGCCTGAGGCAGGCAGGCAGGCAGGCAGGCAGGCAGGAAGGAAGGAAGAAAGGAATGGTATTTATGCTAGGCATAGGCTATAGCTGAAGCCTTGGTTTAGCAACACTTTCGGTTTGGAGTGACATTCTAAAAGTTTTTTAGAATGCTGTAGACCCTTTGCATCATCACCTGATATGCTGCAACTATTAGTAGTACTCTACCAACCTTTCCCAACAGTTATAGCAAGTAGCATGCCCACAGGACAAGGCTAATAGTTCATCTATTTCATCAGCACAGATCAAGCAATGCTCCTACAATAAAAAAATACTATTAGCAAGCAGAATATAACACTGAATCATTAGGACCAACAAATAAAAAAAGGAAAAGGTCATTTATTTTACTTCAATAATGCAAGGAGTCATTGCCCAATTCTTACAAGCCAGTGGCTCATGTATAACCATTCAGAGGTGCACCCTTAGCCCCCATACTATTGGTGCTCTTTATTGCAGGTATTTAAAGCTAAAGCTACACAGAACAGAGAGAAGTTGAAACAAAAGTGTAGATCCCAGTTTAGGATCGAACCATGGACCTGTACCTCTGGAGGCCACATGCTAACCAAACTTACTGAGGTCTTGGGAGAAGCTGTTCTGTCCTCATGTCTGAATGTGAATGTATCTATGTCTCCGTCTGTGTATCCTGAAGGAAAGCAAGCAAAGCAGAAAGGAAAGTCAAAACAGACATGGAAATCAAAGATGATGTAGTGGCAGCTCATTCACCAGTGCCATAGTAAGGGAGGGTGAAGGGGGGCATATTTTTTTTACTAAACCCATGGATTTGAACTCTAAAGATGAACTGTGTATGCATGTGTATTGGCAGGAAAATGGTACATTCACCATGTGCTCAAGACCTCTCACTTCACCATAGCCATTTACCTCTGGGGTCTTGGGTTCAATTACTGGACGCCACATCACAAGTGGGTAAAATGTGTTGGGTCTCATGTCCCTTGATTCAAGGGTTTTTCCTGAGTTCTTTGGTTTTCCTTCCTTGGCAAAACCTAACATGCTGAATTCGAATTCCATCTGTGAATTAGCCATTGTCCTGACTTTTGTCAGCCCACAGGTTGTTTCAAAGTATTAATAAATTGAGGTTTTTTTTATTAATAAGTGCAGTATTTTTCAAGTGCACATGGTTTTCAGAACATGCTACTAGTCATTATATGCAAAAGAAGAGATTGATATTTATGAGTTGTAAGCTCACCTTCAGGAAGTTTCACTCCTGCTTTTTCACATGCCGCTTTTGCATCATTCATCCAAGCTTCAACTAACTTTTCTCTGGACCATTCTTGAATATGATAAGGAAAAAGCAATGAATGAGTGGATCGATGGAACGATGGATGGATGGATGGATGAAAGGAAGAATGTTATGGACAAATTGAAGGAATGAATAGAACAAAAATATGCAGTGGTATAGAAGTGTTAAGCCATTAATTCATCAAGATATAAGTACATCAGATGTCCTAGAGATCTCTTCTGAAACTGTACTGGTGCAAGTGTAAAACATCACCATTTTACATTTACCATAATCTCTCAATAATGCTTCTGCAGTAAACAATGGCACCTGAAAAAATGAAATGAAATTGAAAGAGTTGAAAATGAAATAGATGAAAGTAGTGGCGTTTCATCAGCTGTGGAAGAAACTGAAAATGGGATACTGAGAAGATTTGCAAGTTTTTAAAAATTTGTAGATATCTCTTCATTCCTCCCTCCCTTTCTCCCTTTCTTTTTTCTTCCTTTTTTCCCTTCCTTCCTTCCTTCCTTTCTTCTTTTATCCAACTTACATTGCCACCACAAATTCTCCAGAAAACAGATTTTTATGTATAACAGTTTTATATAACTTAACATAGCATGGCACAGTCAAAGCCAAAGCAAAAATAAAAGACTAAATGAAGATATTTAGAATTGTTGGTAAAACATTTAAACAAAATAAAATAATAAATAAATGAGATTGAGAAGAGGGTACCTTTATATAATAATTTACTAACCATCAACATATCTGCTGTTTCTACCAGCAGTTGGTCTTTCGCTTCTTGTAAGTCTTGTGCACACAGTCCTCTGTGGGGCTGGTTATGTAAATGCAAAAATATAGAACAGAAATATGGCACTTAATGACTTTCCCCTCATTTTACAACTATATCTACAATCTTTTCCAAGAAGTATGTGATATCAATTTCGTCAACTGTCGTTCAACTGAGCTTATCCATAAAATTCAATGTTTTAAAGCATCTTTAACAGGAATGATGTCTAGACCACTCTTTCCATAAGGGTGGGTAAGTATGGGTTAAGGGGGCAAGGAGAAAGGGGCATCTGGGGGGCAAAGACTTCACATCCCTTTCCCTCTGCAGAGTCTGATTTATCTTACTCCTACAGAAATTAAAATATATACATAAGATTTTAAAAAATGCGTAATTAAGTTTAATTAAGATTCGGATTAAATTGAAAACCAAGGATTCCTGAGTAGGCAATTATATGTTTACCTGCATTTCTTCTTGAGCTAGTCGTAGATGAACCTCAGCTTCTCTGGAGTCTGTGACTGCATCCTATGTGGAAAGAATCATGAAATATAATAACCCTGTCAAAAAAACCGGCTCAAAATAGTTGTCTGCATTTTTTTGCCTTTTAATTTAAGGCGAGGTAATTTGGTGCCTGTGCACCCTTCTTCTATAGGCTGGGATTAAAATAGGTGCATATTTTCATAATCTTGTGAACAACACTACTTCAAATCCTAGATCTGTCCATCCTACCCTTTTTCCTAGTGCAGAAAAAATAAAAATTTTTAGGCATTCCCATTTTCTTCTTCTCCTGTACATGTATTAAACTAAGAAAAGTACATCAACCTCTGTACAGCTATGAAAGCTATTTTAAATTTGATCAACCTCTGAGTCCATGAGTCTTCAATACAGTATATACTTACAGAAAATACCATTTTGGATTCTAAGAATGATGCTATTTCTGAAAAGTTTCCTTGAATGGCACAGTCACAAGCTGTCTGGTTATCGTCATTCTCTTCATACAGAGGAACACCATTAGCTACAAGTATCTGAACATGGAAAAAGTGATTACAAGACATAAAATAATGTACAGTAAGCGCTTTGACAAGATACCAGACCCATTGGAAAAGCAAACCTTGGATTTTGAAAAGAATTTGTTAGATCTCTCCCCTGATTTTGGGGTTGGTACTTTCCTTCAGGTTCTCTGGTTCTCTCCTTCCTCTATAAAACCTAATGAGCCTGATTTTGATCAGCCCAGAGATTCAGGACATTTAAGAAAAATTAAAGTGGCACCATTATTGAACGTTATATGTGTTATAAATCTTGTGTTCTGATTGGTTAGGAGCATGTATTTTGATAGCACACAGCATGCACACAGACTTTCAGTTGCATTGGTACTATCTAAAATAATGGTATTTTATGAAAGGAATAAAAAACTTGCTTGCTGTGGTGTGTGGAGTTATAAAGCACTCGGGGATTGGCAGAACACTTGATAGATGTGGAGAAGCACTCCTCTATGAGTCATGCTTCTCCTAACACATCTCTCATGTTCTGCCAGCCCCCACATACTTTATAACTGCACACAGCATGCACACACATTTTCTATTTCTTCAATAAAGATGGAAGACAATATTTCTTTCTTCAAATCCCAAGAGAGCCAAACACCAAAGCTATGGTACAGTACTAGTAGCCATGTTGGTGGTATTAATAAAGGAAATCTTTTGATAAGTACCACCGTGACAGCAATACCATATTATGAAAACAATAGTTTACTCTATTACTCTAAAATTTAATCTTATAAATCATGCAGTCAAATTCAACTGTGGCTTAGCTTGTGTTTAAAAGAATTACATAAGAAAGAAGTTTTGATTATTGGGGTCAGATTTTAAGAATACAGAGATGAGTAGACCGTAAAATTTAAGTCGGATGGTAATGAGAATCAATAATCAAGCTAGCTGTGTTGTATATATTGATTACAAACCTGTACACACTGGTATAATCCTGAAGAAGCAGCATAGTGTAATGCTGTGTTATTTTTCTGTCAAACAAAATATAAAAAATCAATTTAAAATTACATGTTTGGTCCTTTTGGGGTTTAGATTTGTATTATTTCTGTGTTCCTGAAGTTCCTTTAGAAATATCTATCTATCTATCTATCTCTAGGAGTACATATGAGTAGAGTTTTTTATGACTCTCTCTTGATTCAAAGTGTTTTTGAATTCTTAGGATTCTCCAGTTTCTTCCTCTGCAAAAACTAACATGCTAAATATCCAATTCTATTTGTGAGTAAGCTGTGCCCTGACTTTAATCAGCCTGGAGGCGGTTTTAGAATATTTATAACATTTTAAAATCCTTGTATATTTCCATCATAAAATTTAGTGGGGTCTAATATCAAGCTTTAATAATTACTGCTTGATATCAGACCCCACTAAATTTTATTGTTCTGTTGAATAACAATGTTATTTAATGGACCACCAGTGTCAGTAATCATTGAAATTGAAAGTGACTTTATGCATAAAAGGACTTGTTTCTACAAGCATACAAAAGAAGAAGGATATATTATGCAAATGGTACTCAAATGGCAAGAAGGAGTTTGAATAGAAAATATCAGCCTCTGTTTTCTGTTTTCCCAACATGGCTCATTTTTCAAAATTAAATTTTTTTTCAACATTGTCCTCATGTATATGTATACATAGGTTAGCAAATGTTTCAATTTAAAAATTATTACAATTAGAGTCACCATAAATATCCCTAAAAATGTAAATGATTTATATGCATTTCAAGATTGTCTTCTGACAAGATCTAAATGGGGCAATAGCTAGATTAAAAAATGAGACTATCAAGCCATAAAATAATAATCCAATACTGAGGAAGTTCATATCAAATCCTTGTGACGTTCTTGCACACGTATATATGTATATGTCTATCAAAAACTAAGAATTATTGAGATTTCTTGAACAGTGAAAAGTAAAATCAAGCAAATAAGAAACACCCCCCAAAAAAGCGTTTTATTTAAACCCAAACAAGTCCGGATAATAATTAAGATGAAGATGATAATGACGTTTATGTTGCTACGTCGTTAATTTGTTTGGAGATGGGGAAACCGATATAACGAAACACAGATCTAAAATATAATTGTGCAAAAAGCTAAGCTTACTTACTTGCTGATAAAAATAATATAAAGACCAAATATGATATATTCGTATGATACACAAGCATTTTCATTATCGTATATATGATAACTAGAAAGTCCAAAATAGAATTTAAAAAATTAAAAAAAGGTTAGAATATCAACTTACGTGGTCTTTGACTCCCAAATCAGAACTTTCTTCATCGATATCGTCAGCTTTACACGAACATAGCATCATAGACAAACACTCAGCTCTTAGTTTATCAATAACTGGATCTTGAGTTCTATCCGACATACAAACATAATGGATAGGAGTTTGACTGAGTGAGTTTTTTTGGTTCATATTTGCTCCTTCCGACATGAAGTCTCGTACGAAAGGTTTCATAGCATAAAGACATGCATAATGTAAGAAGGTATTATTACTGTAATTCTCTCCGTAGCTGTAGTTAGGGTCCAAATTTCTTTTAATATCTGGATTCTTTAAGTATAGCTGCATTGCTTCTACCTCTTCTCCCGTTTGAAGCGCTTTACGGAACTTTGAAGATGTACTTCCCATGTTGTACAAGTCGTCTCAGCTATTTGCAAATGGTTGAACTAATGCCTTCTAGAAAAATTAATCGCATAAGACATCATTGTTTTCTTTTGTGATAAAATGGTTCCACCGAATCTAAGCCCAGTGACGTTATAAAAAAATCATCCTACAGAATAAAACACAGTAAAACTCTGAACTTAGACCATAAAAGTGTCATAAATGAATTAGAAGACAACTTTGGCATGTGTTGGAGTTATTTTGTCTGGTGATCAGCATTCAGGCGTCCATACGATAACCATTCTATTAACCATTCGTAAATAAAGTCGTACCCCCGACCAGAACAACAACCCAATGACGAAGAATAGAGGATATTGCTCTTGAAAGTTATATATTCGTCTTAATCTTTGGCAGAGTCAATCAAACATGAAATTTTTTCACTCTTGCTTTTTTCGAGGTCTTTTGTTGTGCTACTTTGGATACCCGCTGATACATTAATGCGCTCCCGCGATGAGCCTCGTTTTGATGTCGTCAAATCTAACATGGCGGCCGTGTTGAGGAGTCTTGCTAAAAGTGCCCATAAAACCACGCTGTTTCCTGCCAATTCTATATCATCAAAGAGCTCTTTTCTGCATCGTGAAGTTATACCAAGGACTAATTTTATCGCTGCTGCGTTTTATAGTTGCTTTTGTAGAAAAAGAAATGGTTTTTGGGAACGAAAAAGTACAAAACTGGCAACGTCAAGTAAGTTAAAAATTGAGGCACCCATTTATTCAGTTTGAATATAATTAAGTAAGATTGGATATTGAATAATGTGCGGTTAGTATTTGATTAAGGTTGAGTGTGGGAGAGAATTTCATGTCTTTTTTTAAGTTAATGATATAACCACAGGAAGACCACCATTAGATTTTTGCTTCCTTCAGTTTATAAGCATGGGTGGTGTGTGCTTTTGCTGTGTTATTCTTTATTGTGAGTTCATCATCTTGTTCCCCTTTATATTTTCATGTGAAATAAGTTGCTTGTTGGTTTCCATCTGTTTTTTTTTAAGGATATTTGATATTATTTTGAGTTTTTTTTCCATCTCATGGTCCATTCTGCATTCCTTTCTAGGTAATCCCCCATGTAATATTTCAGGCAATTTAATATCAACATCAGCATCATTAGGAAAATACTATGTCAAGCCTAACTATCTCAAAAAGTGGGGAAGAAGAGACATGAAGAGAAGAGAAATGTTCAAAGATAATGAAGTCCAAAGATCAGGCTTGCGGATGATAAAAAAGAGCGATATCCTTCCATCTGGTGTTCGTCTAAAAGCTGCAGAAGATCTTAGAAAACTACCTCTCAACAGCAGTCTTAATCGTGTTCGTAACAGATGTGTTCTGACAGATAGAGCTCGGGGTATTGTGGGAAGGTTCAGGGTGTCAAGAATGATGTTTAGATATTTTGCTGAGAGAGGACAAATTTCAGGAGTGCATAAGGCCCAGTGGTGATTGACATTCAAATAATGTATAGTGTTTCTCTATTTTTATTGTATCACATGAATACCGTATACAAAAATCCAAATGACTACCCAAGCATTATTCAGTTATTCTTAATACTCGTCAGGTGTTCTGCCAATCTCTAAGTGCTTATGACTGCACACATTAAAGGAAGCAAGTTTTTATTTCATAAAATAAAAAATAGAGTAGTGGCTCAAATGAAGTTATTCACGGCAGCCATATGAAATAAGAGCTCAGAAAAAACTGGAGCTCAGATTTTTTCTATAATAATACTACATAATTCTATAATCTCTTCAAAAACACATGATATAAAGAATACTAATTTATTAATGAAGAAGACTTTATCGGGTACTAAAAGTCCATGCATGTCATGACGTGTATGGCCACCCAATTTGAATCAAAGGCTTATGAATTATTCATGCATTTTTTAGCCATGGCTCAGTACTTTGAGTAGTAGAGTGACCACAGTAAATCCRTGAAACACTAATWACTAAATAGTRCAAAATAGTGCTAGTTAAACAATAGAAAACAATGGAATTTGCATGAAATTGTGCTATTTAGTATTACTAAAGTTTCACAGATTTACTGTGGTCAATCTATATTTGCACATTTGATTGAATCAACCGATCACCACTCATACATACAGTATACAACAGAAAATTGAAAACCTAAAAAACTTCATGGGAAGGTAAGACCCCAAAAATTCTGAGATGCACCCTTAGGGGTTTAGGGTTACAAATAAAAAATATACAAAAGCTGACAGTAGATGACCGATTAAACCCTTCAGCTTTTGGAGCTGCGCCACTTGTACACGAAATATTGAGAATCCGGTGCACTTTTGTACTCATAGATTAGGTTTGCAGGAAAAAAATAGAACTTCTCCATCTCATGAACTGTATTTCAGTCAGTAGCGCTTACTGCTTCAATCGGATTCCTATATATTCATAACTGCATCTATGATTTTGTTTGTTAACTTTTTCAGAGATATTTGGTATATGCACTCTAAAACTGCACAATCGATGATTGGTTCGGGGAGGGTTCCGCAATACTGAATTGTCCGAGACGGAAGCATGAAGTTGCACGATGACAAATCACGGAAATCCTGCAAAATAGCCAAAAACTCTAAGCAGCCAGACTAGTTCAATGGATGTTGTAATCTATTTTAAAGCGCTTATGCTTCGAAATTATTTTTTTCCCAATCCGTCTGATTTTGTGTATAAGAAACAATGTTCGTTCAGATGGCGAATCGATCTACGGATTTTCTATGTTACTCTATGTAAAGGATTGATCAGTACAAACAAATGATCAACTAAGACACAGACAATAACATATTACTTTTACAATAATACGTACAAATTATCATGGCGAGTACGTGCGAGTATTCGGCCCCAGGCCGAGAATCTGTCATCGATCTTCTGCCTTGCAGCACATGGATCCATGCCGTTGTAATCCTAGTAGTGGAGTCCGCTGTTAACTGATTACAGACTGAAAGCGGCTCTCTTAGAGTATAACGTCTCTTGAAAAGCTTGTTTTATCTCAGGCAGGGAAGGTACGTTTTTTATTGTGGGGAAGGGGGAGGGCTTGGGGATTCGCAATAAACTTTTTAAAAAATGGTCGTCACCCTCCCTGTTTTACCCAGTAAGAAATTTATGACCATCCCATTTTATTAAAATTAGTCAAAATGACTAGCTTTCATCAAAATAAAAAGGTTAATTTGACCTTTCCTATCGGAAGCCCCAGCCGTTCCTTCGATTAAAAAAGTACCTTTCCTAAAGTACAACTTTCCCCACTAATTCAGACAGCAAAAAATAGCTCATCAACTTTCTCAAACACTACAACCGGCCGACCTACAGTTCAAAGAGTATACCTTCATGCAGGATAAAACTTACTACACTGAGTGTCTAGCTCAGTATCCATTGAAGAGGGTGGTACACATCTTAAAGGGGTTCCTAAACCCATTTCCGCTACCGAAAATCGTGCATGGAAGATCCCAATCCCAGTCCACGGAAAGACGTAACTGGCCGACTCTACTATCTAGATGCAAGAAAAGTCGTAACTGCTGTGTAAAGGCCATGTTATACTGCAATTTCCTCAGCAACCTCAGTGTCTCGCAGTGCTTGAAAGCCGGTAGCGGGGTTGCAATAGTTGGCCGAGGCGATGAGGTGTTACGCTGCAGCGCGGTCTCAGCAACTTAAAACATTTTTTTTGTGGCTCCTAGCGCTAAAAGAAATGGTAAATGTTCGCATGCTCAATCTCTTGAAAAATATTCCTTAATGATATTTGCGAGAAAAAGTTGTTGGAGGGGTGATACACTGTTCAATGGCGTTGCAAGCTGCTTGCGAAAAGTATGAACGAATAAGTTCTACTTCGTGTGAACGCCACGCCAAACAAAAATAAAAAATAAAAATTGCGCGACAATCCCTGTTACACTCTGCAATTTTCCAAGGCCCCCCAAAAGGCGAATCCCAGCTCCTATTTTAACCCCTCAGAACCCTCACTGATGTCAGTGGGTTATGGAGTAGCGTCAACTCGGTGCCAGAAGGGAGGAGTGACTAATATGCACCAAGAAAGTAGAGTTTCCGATGAAGCACAAAGGGAAGTGAAATACTTGCTGTGATTGTTTGACCTCTTTTCTGGACTAGATCCCAAGAACTGTTAATCTTCGAAACAGCCCGTCATTATAAAGATCACTTTACCCTCACAATCAACTCGCGCACACTCAAAGACCTACTTTATCACGTTTGCATGACATTAAGTTAAGTACATATTTTACTCCGTTAAGGGTTTTTTGTTAAGACTGTCCATAATCAAGATATTGGAATGCTTTGAGGTTGTAAAGATCGAATGTTTGTTGGACGGATCAAGCCGGCTGCCCGAGCGAATTAATACTGAGTGCAATCCGCCGGTCTCGGCAACGTTTCTAATATCGACGAAACTTTTCTGATATTTATCGACATTACAAACGTTAATCATATAAACTCCTTTTTCTGGTAAAACCAATTTTTCAAAATGTCACTCTACCGGCGTGATAAAGGCATCATAGTCAGGGAGTCGATCTTTTCTGCAAACACGTACTTAATTCCGCGTGGGACGTACAAAGGGCGACATGCCCGCGTAGTAGGTCTAGTATAGCAGTGTTGAAATTAGATCTCCCATCAGATAAAATCAAGACTGAACTCTGGAATCAATAGCCAATCCTTTAACTAGATTTTTCAACCCAAGTCAGGGAAATCAAAAAGACGGGAATAACATAGACATTTTAGCAAGAAGAACAGTGACATCATTTTTTAGTTATTCCATATTTACAAAAGCTACAAACTGAAATGACATAGTCGTAAAAGTCGAAAGGTCCTGGGTGTCCCGTGTTCCTCGTGCTTCATATTTCGCTTTTGCCTGCTATACAATGATTGGCTAAGAACCATCAGGAGATTTTCTAAATACAGTATATCAAGTGATATGGATTGTTCGAGTTGATCATCAACCTACTCGTATCAGATTTAGTAGCACGGAAGGGTACGGAAGAAGAGGACGTGTTCGTTGTGTTTGGCGAAGTTGATGTAGCATTCTTCATTACAATGTACTCCTCAGACCATGATCCTGACAAGCATATGATCTGCTAGAATTCAATGGTAAGAAACGGTTTTGTTAATGAGGACAAACAACACGTTCCCATCCAAGGACAAGACTAGACAGATACATCATGGCTCTCGCTCTCGTTGGCATGCTAATGGTCCTCTCGACTTGTACTCCAGCAATGGAAGCAAGTAAGTTTTAATTCACTCTGTATAATTAAATATCTCAGTAAAATAAGTCACAAAAGATTTATCTAAGTATCTCATTACTGGGTTCTAGACTTACTAGACGTATTGTGTACATAAGGGTAACGTCTTGTACTAGCATACAGTGGACCACAGTACTATGCTGGCTTTGGTTCAAGTCTGTGCATATCTCAATATCTATGTAAACCATAAATGAATTGATCGTGTCAACAGCTTAACAATTAAAACCCGCAAGCCAAAACTCTAATTGTCAGTGTCCTTATCTACTTTATTAAAGTCAGGTACTTTGTAAATAACTTTAGTAAAATGTCCAATATATTTTTTCTTGATCCTTGATGACATGATGTCATCAAATCATGAAATCATGACATCGTATATATACTCTGGTATATACTGTAGGGACAAAGTACCATTCGATTGCCCTAAGTACCCTTTGGTTGAATGAAGATCAATAATTTCGGGCACAAAAATGTGCAATAACAACATCTGATTATTACATCAGATTTGCCTACAAGGTCCAATATTTGTTATTCAAACGTAAAATCTCGTGACCTTACGAGTCGAATGCAGCCTAATGAAATCTTTGGAAAACTTTCTGGCGACTCGTTCATAGCGTGACTGCAACGAAAGAAATTCTTCTTGATGTGAAACGCCTTTTCCCCCTTTCTTTTTTTTCTTCTTTTTCTTAATTAAGCTATTGGGACAAAATTTGTAACAAATTAGAATATAGGAAAAAAATTTTTTAATGAACGCTATTTTTAACAAAAATGTTTTGCTACAAAAACGTCACTGGTTAATGCTTGTTTCGTGAAGCATTGTATAAAAAAATACGTACTCGATGAGTACGTGTCTACTGCTGATAGATATACAGCAACATTTTTGAATCATGTATATGTAGAATATTCACTTGTATATGGAGCTCAGTTATCCCTTTAAAGGGCTTAAATATTGTCACTGTAACAACCTGAGTCAGTTTCACATCGCATCGGTTCTGTAACAATCGTTAATGAAGCGCCATTGTTGACATGCTTCGTGTAGCACAAACACATCAATTCTGTCGCCGTTTTTTGCGATAAATTCTTTCTAGATATTGCAAATACCCGAAAGCACTTTAATTAAACAAAACTTGACACATTCCATGAAACCTGTGTGCCTAGCTTGTTCCAAATAAACAAATAAATTTAACTACAAAAATGGCTGCGATTACCTTGTAGAAATCACTGAATCCTACCAAATCATGTTTGAAACGTTGGTCAAAAGTTTCCCAGTCTATAAAAAGTCGTAAGCAGTCGCAAACAGAGTAACCAAGTTGACCAGCCAGTACGCGGGACTTCGGATGACATCGGCTATCCTCGCCATGCACCACTAGCTGTGCACGTGGGATCCGAAAGTGATCCGAAGATTTACAACCCTTACACCGGGAGGAACTTTATGTCAGTTATATATCGTATATGTCAGTTATATATGTCATTTAACTATATTTTTCGCTAGTTAAATAAGATATGAAGTATATCTGGGTAAACTTGATGGCATAGTGTCTACTGCTTAATAATATGCAGTAGACACAAAAAAGGAAATGAAAGGAAGAAAAAAGAACGAAAAAAGGAATATATTGATTTTTATTTAGTCAACTCTGCACTCATGTTCCATTCATTTGCCCAGAATGCACAAGACACATGACTGCGGTTTTCAATATTTTGCGAACTCAGACATTACAGTGGCTTGTTTTGAAATTGGGTTTTCTCTGCCCACAAGTCAAGAACATAAAAGGCGGCAGCGAAGAAAATAAAATTTCAGAGTGCAGCTTGTAACTACAGAGTTCACAGAATATTGAAAATAGCAGAAAGATCACACTAGCTTGATGATCATCTTTATGTTCCATTTATCTGTATCAAGTTTCTATCACGTCTGGGAGATGCCTTAACTGTGTCTTGGTGAGAAAGACACAATGAATGGCTCTCTGTCATTCTGAACTCTTCAGTATTTTTTGAGGAAAAAATAAATAAATAAATAAAAGCTGCTGTATATGTTTAGGAAACCTTTTTATCAGCCTCATCAAAACTCACAAAACTGTGAATTTTTAAAAATGTCTGCAATTGTTGCAATGGACTTTACACACATTCTGCTGTGCTTCATGGTTTTAAACCTGATAAAACACTTCAAATCGGTTATTAAAGGGTACTTAAAGTGCCTTGTTTACAACTTATGTACGACAATAGAACAAGCTTGGGCCCATGATTGATAAGAGTTGGATCACTAGTTTTTTGGCACTCAACCATAAAATGTTACTATAAAGATCACGTCACACTGCAATTACTCACACCCACATACAGATCAACCATAATGGTTTAGAGTTTATTCAGCAGTCAGGTTATCATGTCTGAGCAATTAATTCTAGGAAGACACAATTTGTCAATGGAATCATCATATAAGTGGGAAAACTATATATTTGGGATTATGATACTAGTGATTTCTATGGTTTATATTCCTAAAGGAGTTCGATCACCAGAGAGACCTGTTGTGCCAAATGTAACAGCAACAAGCCCCACAGAAATCAAAATGAGCTGGTGTAGAGTCAAGCCAAACAACATTGAGATTGACCACTATGAATTGTACATTGATAATGAACTGGAATACTCTGGAATTGATGTGATGTATGTAGCTAAGAGGCTGAAACCATGGACATGGTATGAAGTCAAACTACGCTCTTGTGGATTTCAACCTGGCTTCACTTGTTCACCATTCTCTAGACCTAAACTAGTCAAGACTCTAGCAGATGGTAAGTAGAGTATTGGTATGTTCTATGGAATCTTATTCCCAACAAAACATAAGGAAGCAAGTGCAGGAAGTATATTTGATATAGTTATTAGACCCAAGGATGTAGCTGGGTCAAAACCTTGTAAATCTGCCAAACATTTAACATCTCAAGTTTCCTTTTATAATGTAATTAAGGACCACTGATGATAAGGGGGCACACTTTATCTATTTACCACAGGCACTATGGATTTATCTAGAGATTTCTCAATTTTGATTCTTTCCATTTAGGTGAAAATGCCACAGCTATTCCATCAACAGCTACTGTGTTCAAAGTAGTTGTGCTGCCAACATATATGTTCATTGCTGGTGTATTAGTTGGTGTAGTCGTCTTGGCAATGGCACTTGTATGGAGGTGAGTTCATAACTGACAGTTTAGGGGGGGGAAATCAGCAAATTCTGCCATACCTAGCTCTGAAAATGGTTTTTGGTCAAAACACTTTGAGTTTCTTTTTGCATCTAAATGTCCAGTTTGCCTTCTCCACAAAACTCAACACTCTAATTTTTAATTGGACATGTAAGTTAGAAATTCGTTTTGCTAAGGACCTGATAAATATTGTAGTTGCTTGTTTGTGTCAGGTATTTAAAGTCAAACGACTTGTGGATGATTGAGCCAGCTTTTGAACTACCAACTCACCTTCCACCACGAGGTAGAACCTGCCTCAATGGAAAAATTGCTAAGTTAAATTCGTTTCAACTGAGCAACTTGGTTGGCCAAAACAAAGATTCTGGCAAAACTGATGAAAGACGAGACCTAGGTAAGGAAAATGTGTATCACCAAATCACAGAAACAGAAGAAGGAATTTGTTCTAACAACAAAAGCATAGAGGATTTTACTGTCAGAAAACAAGAAACTGTGCTTGAGGAAATGGAGGAAGAAAGACTATCACTGGTTGATTTGAAAACAATTGCACAAGATGGAACCATGAACAAAGATCCCAGGCTTGGCTCTGACAACAACCATCTCAATAGTCATTACCAAAATGAATACTTAGTGGAAAAACCCTATAGTGGCCATCTTGATGAACAAGTAATATCTGATGGTAGCCAAGAGATGAAACCATATATCGTGCAAGACAACAGCTTTGGAGACTTGCACTTCAGTCCCAATCTTGTCATTAAGGAAAATAATGTGGAAGGTCTTTGCAGCAATTCTGAGCAACAGGAGTCTTTTCCCAAGTGCGAAAGAAAACTCACAGAGCATGATCTATCTGTCCAGCAAGCAGACCAAGTGAAGGATACTCAAATGAATCAAACATCTTCATCGTCAAGTGGAAGCCAGGATGTTACCAAGGGTGCAGTCATTGTGGTTGACAACAGTAATATTTACATCGGTGCTCAAGAATGTGCCAGTGCTTACAATGCTGGGGAACGGAAACGCCATGTCCGAGTCAAGCTGCAGAACTTAGTTAAAATACTGGAGAAAAACAGGAGTAAAGAAAGAACCTTTGTGTGTGGGTCAAGTCCACCTGCTACAGAACATGTTTGGGACATTTACAGGTTAGAAATCTTTGTATAATTTGTTAATGTACATTCTCATCCACTTTTACAAGACAAGTGTACAATTGGATGAATTTGGCTATTGGGCCATGAGTGTTTTTGTCTCAGCTGAGAAACGATTTGTTGACTGGTGCCATCAGGAATAAGTATGAAGTAAAATGTATTGCAATTTGGCAGCTGAATTAAAAAGTGAAGATGTAAAAGGGAAAAATTACTTCACTTTTGTGACAGCACATTAGGTCACAATTCCCAATACTAGTATGTTTAGGACTGGATGGTGATGACATGGGTGATGACATCTTTGCAATGTTTTTGTTTCTCTCACTTCCAGGCATCTTGGTTATGTGGTTGATTTAGAGGACAGACGAGGAAAAGATGAACAAAGAGTTGATGAAGGTTTACATCTCTTTATTTACAAGGTACACAGATAACCTTTTCCATAAATATATTATTAATTTCTGCCATGACATGTATATAATGTCAGGAACAATGACACTTCATCTTAGGCCAGTCAATTACAGGACAAATAAGAAATAGTGTTGATTTTTGCAAAAAAGATGGAAAGCCATGTTGGTTTGGTACATCACACTCTAGATTTCTTTACTTTCCGTGAGTTAACTGTGCCCTGCCTTTGATCAACCCAGTTTCCAGAGTCTTTAATAATAAGTGCTAGACACCCAATTCATGCCATAGATGGAAAGGCAATTCTGTTTTCTGTGTGATTTTGAAAGTTTGAAGTTAAGCAACTATAAATATACTTGACACATCCTCATTTTCAAACAGGCAATTTGTGAGCTTTCACCAAGAGTTTTAGTTCTGGCAAGTGGAGATGGCATGAAAGGCAAATCAGAAAATTCCACAAGTTTCCCAGGTTGTGCAATGATGGCTTTGGAGAAAGGATGGCTTGTAGAAGTTCACTCGTGGAAGCATTCTCTCAGTGCTGAGTGGTATAAACTGGCAAAGAAGTACCCAGAACATCTCAGTATTCACTATCTTGATAAGTAAGTTTATTTGAAAGTAAATGTTACTCCTTAGTCCAGCATAATAGGTTGTGGCCAAAATCTCCACTTTTCTTGCCCCAGTATCAATTTGCTTGAATCAAAGCAATGCAAAAGGATCAAGACTTAGAAATTTCTTTTCTATAATTGCACAGGTATGTGAATCACATTACGTTTGTTGATGGGAAGCATGGAAGAAAATGCCTGCCACTCACAGGAATCCATGAACGAGAAAGAATGGGAAGTTTTGAATCAAGGCCAGGCCGGCTCACATACCATAATGGATAGCTTTGTAAATGGTTTTGTATTTTATTGTCTATTTAACCTGTAAAACACATGAATATGAGAGGAAAATGCATGTTTTCTTCGTAGTAGTAAAGTTTTAGGTATCTAGGTTTTACAGAGATATTTATTTTTGAAATAGTTAGCTTTAATAGCAGAATTAGACACAGCTAGTTAGGAATGCAATTAAGCTTAATATGATTCAGAATTTAGAGTTTAATAACATTTATTTGCATATTAAATCCTTGCAGCTATTTTTAGTGACCTAATGGGATGCACAATAATGTAATATTATGAATGTCATCTAGAGTGTTCAAACAGCAAGGTTAAAATGACCGTCAGTCAATAGAAAATGTTCAGCAAAAATTAGTGCCTGTCTGTCAGTGTGCAAATGCCTCTCATGCCAATCCTCTTGAATGGTTGACATTTTGATCAGTTGGATGTGGCCCAAAAATCTTGGCAGCCATGTTGGTAGTATTAACAAAGGAGGCCAATGAGAAATACTTTGTTGCTACCATTATAGTTGAAGTGTGACCCACAAAGTTCAGTGTCTAATTTGCCAATTGGCATTTCAAGGACTGCCAATCAAGTAACTGAAATAAAAGAGCAATATCTTGAGGGAGATTTTAGATTGAATTAAAGATTTTAATGCCCTAATCCTCTATTTTAATCCTCTATTGCTTTATCACTGTTCTTTGGTCATTAAAATGCTGGTCGGCAAATGAAACATTGAACTTCACTGGGTGCACTTCAACAATAATGGGAGTAAATACCCCCAATATGACAGCATGATGCCCCTTCACATGCTTTCAGTTGTACCATGTTGAGCTGCGCCACTGCACTGCTACTTTCAGTGGTGATTAGCCAGACAAGTTTTTTTAATAATGTGACATGCAAACAAAAAATTATTTAACAATTACACCCACAGCTCAAATGCTCTCATGAGGGCAAGAGGTGTAATTGTTTTAGCATAAACCTAGGTTGAAATAAAATAATCAATTTTTTTGCAGTTGGTTTGTTTTTCAAAACCGAACCTTGTCACTACTGGTGGTCTATAACTAATACACTACTAGTAGCTCAGCCAATCAGAGTGCAGGTAGACCATTAGTAGGTTTATGCTAAACCTAATATAGCATTGGTGAGAGACATTCATTGAGTCACTAAAAACAGCTACAACAAGCCAGGAAAATATATTGCTAGTATGTGCCCAAATTATTGTGGCATAATAATATGTTAATGCAACAAAAAAGCACTTTAGCAGATGATCTTTGCCATTAGAAACAAAGCATCTTTTTATAAAGTATTATACTGTAAATATTCAAAGTTAAGAAAGAAAGCAGGTTTATCAATCATTTTGTTCTTTTTACAACTATTTTAGACCTAAATCATAAGCCTCCAATTTACCATCTATATCTTACAAGATAAATTTGATTGGCAGTAGACAAAATTCCTAATGACTCCAAATGTCTGGAGTCAGTTAGGTTGCAGAAACATTAATTAATTGGCTGTAATTACTTGTCAGTAAGATTGCAACCAAATTATTATGATCTTATTATCAATCTTCTTTTGGTGAAATGAATGTTATGTCCTCTCTTGCCTTCCACTTTTAAAATTAAATCATAAGAAAAAAAATTCCCAGTTTTTGCTGTAATATATTTGCATGGAGTAGTTATCCAATATCTGCCATTAGATGTATATATATAAACCTAAACAGAATCTTACCACATGTATGCATGTTTAGATAATTTATAGGTTGAGAGTCTTGGATCACAATAAACGAAATCACTGAATGTCATTATCTGTTGTTGTTGTTTTTTATTTATCTTATTATTTTATATTATGCTGGTTGTTCTGAAGCATATTGTGAGACATTTTACATGAAAACCTAAGATCTGTTATGTATATACCAGTAAATTGATTGACGAAAAGTGTTCCAAACTTGTTCACAGAATGGTTACCATGTTTTCTCTATTAAGCCCCCTTCCCCTATTAATTAGGCTCCCTGTCTATCAAGCTCCCACCCCTAAGGGCAGTTGTGGTCCTTTTCCCTTGGCAGGCCTTTGAAAGTCATTTTATCTGTTGTGTTTTTGAATATAAATAATATTATGAATTTCCAATAGATCAAGAATTTTTTTGAGCCCCCGGCCTCTAATATGCCCCCTTCTAATGAGCCCCCAGTCCAAAGCACTGAAAGAATAATGCCCCCAGAGGCTTAACAAAGGAAATATGGTTTTAAATGATTTTAGCTGGTTTGAAGATACAGTTATACAGGGTATAGGGTATAACAAAATGGTGAATCTAAGCAAACTTTGGCAGATGAAAAAACGTTTTTAAATGAATTGTTCAGTATATCCAATGACATTGAAGTACAGCAAATTAAAATGCATGAAAGCCATTGTATATTTGCCAGGGGTTCCCTGTTTCTTCCAATAGTGTGGGATGAAAAAGTTATACACTGCTTTATCATGGCACACCATGGAATATTACACGTCATTCATTTTTTCTTAGTAAACACACTTACCCACAGGTTCATGTGTATAGCAAGTATAATTAAATTACCTCAAGTTTGAAATTTTAGTGCCATAGACAAAAAATCTTAAATCAAAGAGATTATTTGAACTAGCAGGGAATATGCCTCCTCTCTTTCATATAGAAGGGATTAAAAAGAAAACCTAGTTTTTGTTTTGGGCCAACATCTGCTCTTTCAGTATGGTTTGTAATAAACAGCAATAAATACAAAGAGTTGGAATTTTTTCATTTCCAGCACTTTATATCTTCAATAACATAATTTATTATCATAACTTTGTTCATCTCAATTTTGAGAAATTCTATTAAATACGAAATACTTCACTGAGTTGCCTTTGATTTCTTAGCTTTACTCTTTTCTGTCTTCTTGTCTCGTTTTTTCAAGTTATCCATGTTGGCTTTCAGTACATTTGCATATGCCTGAGAACATAACGGCATTGTGTCAAAAATAATAATAATTTATGGATCTTAAGGATGTTCATGCATCATTCGTGCACATCCTTTCTACGCAATACATTAATTTTAGTAAAACAACCTAAAAATTTATATCAAACTGCCTTTGGCGAACTCATGGAAACTACCCTGTGTCCTTTTGTACATCTTGTTGACTTACGCTGCCTTTGTAATTACACAGAGATCATTATTATTATTATTCATTTTATAAGAAGAGACAACTCAAACAAAGAATCATATTCTAAAGAGTACTATATGACTTATGGTCTGAAATGGAAAAAACTTTTAGCCTAACTGCCTTACTATAAAATAACTAAATACATGTACTTACTAATTGAAATCTGTTCACATCTTTTGAATTGACCTGTAGAAGACAAAATTCAAGTAATGTACTGTATACTTAGCAATCAGTCTTTAAGCCCAATTGGGCTATGAGTCAATAGACTATGAGGCTATTGATTCATAGGCCATAAGGGCAAGACTTTTAACTAATTATTTTAGTCAAACCCTAGTCGGTCAAATATATAGATGCAAACAAATTGAAGTTAAATTTAATGTTTTGGTATTCAAAACCGGCACTTTTCACAACTAACTTGGTTTTCAAGTGACGTCATCAAAAAACAAAAATCTAAAGTATTCACCCCACAAAACTGTTTGTCAAATATTTGTCTATAGCATTATAAAGAAAAAGTCTTACCAAAAAATTTTTGTATTATCAAGGTTCGGTGTAGATTTATTATGAGTCTTATTCTGTCACGCAATTCTGTCACGCATTTTCAAAGCATTAGAAATAGGGAAATTTGATTGAAAAAATATGTTTTTAACTTAGTAGGTGATTGGTAACTTTATTTTTATGATTATTGTTATTGAAAATTTGAAATGTTTGCACTATAAACATTATTTTTAACCTTCGTGATTTGGCCTCCATATTGGTGTCCCTCAGTGAGACACCAAGATGGCGGACCCATACATTTCAACTAAATTATGGGCATAATCAATCGCTTTTATCTTCGTATCTAAAACTTCTTTAAGCTAGAATTTTGGCTGAGATATATAGTTTTGGCTACTCTTTCGGCCTGTGGAAGTTTTATTTTACATAAATCCTGGCAAAATTTTTGAAGACGTAAGTGAAAACCAAGAATATTCTAGTTTTGGCTACTCTTTCGGCCTGTGGAAGTTTTGTTTTACATAAATCCTGGCAAAATTTTTGAAGACGTAAGTGAAAACCAAGAATATTCTAGTAGTAACTCATCCAATCAGAACACAGCATTGTAGTTGGATTCACTAAATAGATTTAGCCAAATCCAACTACATTGGCCTATCATCCATGCTGCTTCCTTATTGGATAAGCTACAGTGCTACTTTGGCCTCATGGGCTATTTAAGCAATAGAAAACTTTTTCCGTGTTTACATAGCCTGATAGCAACACGAGGGGAGGTTGGGAGAATTC